TGTTTGAGGCACTTGCGAAGCTGCCTGAGATGAGTGCTAAACAGCTGCTCGCAGTCACGCAAAATGAGCTCGAGCGCAAGTACAAGCTAACGCCTGCGAGCGCTGAGTTCCTGGTCAAGGCGGTTCAAGGGTTAAGCGACCCTTCGGCCACTCTGGCATGTACTAGTCATGCTTCTTTTGGCGGGCCTGTTTTGCGGTCAGTGTCACGTCAGTTGGCATGTTTCAGGGCAGCCCGTGCGCTGAAAGGTGTTGACCTTTCGGGACCTCGTGAACAACAGCAGCTATCCAGAGTTCAAATACCAGCACGTTTGGGTGTACAGGCTCCTAACAGACATACCAGAATGTGGGTACATTGAAAATGCGCAGCTCTTGGAAAGCAGAGTCGCCGGCGAAGTGGTGGATGTGGCAATCGGCAACAGGAGGGGCAAGCGCTGTATTCCCGTCTTCTATGGTGAAAGTGGCAGTGGGAAGACCCTGCAGTCTCAGCTTGCGCCAGCCCTGAAGTTAAGCCATAATTCCTGCATAGTTCGCGTCTTCAGCAAGACTATTGACGATGACGACCCAATCCTCGAGGACATCAGGATCAAACACATGCAACAGAACTTTCAGGAGCGCGATGCCTTGTGCAAGACTTGGACTCTCAAGATGCTCTTTGCGCAGATTAAGGATGCTTTTTGGCAACATGATAAGGTGGTTGACGCATGGTTTGGCAGTTCAAGCCGGAACAAAAAGACCTTGGCACCATCGTGTTTGTCATTGATGAGGTTAGCAAGTGCATAGAACTGGCTCGCGGGATCTCTGCAATGCAAGATGAGATCTACAAGACGCTGGAGCAGGAGTATTGCCTCTCTGCTCAGCTTGTCATGGCGGGAACGGCTGCTGCGGACATTCTGGGCACTCCAGTCACTCCAGGTACAAGTAAGCTCAGTTCCGATCCAAAAGCGGTTTGCTTGACGCACGTTGGCGTCGTCCAAGGCACGAATTATCTCTACAGCCTGCTGAAACATTTAGACAAGGAGACGGGCGTGCGCTTGAAGGACTTGCAAGTCGCGTCCCTGCGCCCATACCTCAGCAATGCCCGAACGGCATGGTTCCTGATTGAAACGCTGAAGGGTTTTTTTGCTTGGGCACCAAAGGAGGTCAGCCGCGAGATGGCAGGCTCAATTTGGAAGCGCTACCCAGCAGCCACGGGCTGCTA